AGCTGTTCCACAGGTCACCAGCTCCACAGTGCACAACAGTGTTCCAGCTGGGCTCACTGCAGCTGCTTGGCCTGTGTCCTAGGACCAGCTCACCAGAGGACACCATTGACTGCAAAGAGGGCCAGGGGTAACTAACTCAGACTTGCATCAGTAACTTCTAGGTGAGATGAGTCTTTTCTGCTGACAATGCAGAGTAGTCCTCACAACACTGGGTTTTCACTTCATTGTTCTTTAGTCATTAATTATGTCATGGTCTCATGGGATAATGTAGCAGGTGGGATTTTTTTGTTCAGTTCATTACGTATGCACCTACATAGCTTAGCTGGGAGTGTGGCTTTCCCAAGAGGGAAGACTTTTCCAGGCTTGGTTATTTGCCTAATATCTTGCATTAATTATACCCTATCAATCTCAGTTTCTGCTTATTACTACAGCTCCCTTGAAGAGTCACGTCACATATCAATAATGCTTATAAAAAGTCTATAATACTGTTCCATGTATCCATATTGATGGTGTGTCTCTATTCTGTCTTGTTCTGTCCTGTGTAATGCAGTATTTCACAGCAGATAAGAGAAGGAAGTCAGTGCAGTGTGTGGCTTCTCACTTGTTGGCAGTTGTTTCACTTGTGTATTGATATCACAGTGCATGGAAAAAGTTATGCCATGGGCAACTAAGCACTGTAGAGACCCAGAGCAAAATCAGCCTTTGCTCTAGAGGCTTTGCTGTCTACACTTCCTCTTCCCTATGAAATAATGTCACTTCTCATCTACATAGCTGTGAATGATTTGGGATCATTCTAGAAGAGGGAAACTGCCTTGCTTATTGTGTTACTCTGCTGTGGTAAAACTCAGAAACACACTCCTAGGCTGGAGTATGCCTGGTGGGACTGGCAGCCAGAACCTTGTCCAGAACAGCTCATTGTTCTTCAGTTCATTGATCTTCATGATCATCCATCCAGATAAATCCTTTTATCATCAGTACTGCCAGAGGTAGTTTAAGAAAAGGAGAGTATTTCCTCTTCACTTGATTGATTCCTTGCAGGTGGTATAATTATTTCAGAATGCATTAGCTGCTAAAATTTTGTAGAAGTTGTTTATGGTTTAATTTTAATTGTATGTGTGTTTCTGTGTGTTCTCTGCCTATCACAAGATAGAAACAGACTGAACTGAATAATTATATGAATTGCTCACCTTAAACATTTTTTGCCATCTCTAGTAATATTCTGTCTATGTTCTAGGTAATAGTAAAAAATCATGAGATTAGATGATACCTGAGTATGAATAGCACTTTGCTCCTAGATTGTTTTCTTGTAGAAATGTACACAGCTTTGTTGCAAAAAAAAAAAAAAAAAAAAAAAAGCCACAGAGTGATTAATGTGATTTTTTTTCAGCCTTTGATATCAAATTCTAATTATATGCATTGAGAATTCAGCCTTTCATACTGTGCATTTCATTTCCTGTTATATTCCTTGGCATTATGGTCTTTAGCACTCTGGTAGGGTTTTCCAATAGGTAACTGATCTATCTGAAATATTTAGAGGATGTTTGTGGCCAGTTCTGTATGAGGGAAGGGCAAAGTTCAGGGTAGGGTAGTTTAAAGACAGATAAATTATTTATGTATTTAGAACAGTTACTGAAACTTTAGCTGGCCCTAAAATTCCGTGAACTAGACACAGTGTGATAAACAAACAGCCTGTTGTGGTTTTTAAATTTTGATAAATATTATTTATTATTTTTTAACTCTTTGATGATAGCACCTTCTGTTCAAGAGCAGTGGATACAACACTACTTAAAAAGAACTTAATTCATGTTCATCCAAGACCTTTTATTTTCTCAAATTTGTAGTGGTGGTGCCATCTTTTTTTTCTATTTATTTTATTGATGTCATTGAAGAGTTAAGAATTCGGTTACTTTAATTAGTGGAGGCTTTTATTTCTTGTTGATCACTCTTGATGAAGATTTGCTGTTGGTGAAAACTGGAATTATAATTATTAATCTAAACCAGGAGCATTGCAATAACTGGAGTTTTGCTGAGGTGATTCCAGACAAAGTATAGCAGCTTGTAAAATTATGATCTTAACAAGCAAGATGATAGCAAATTCAAATATGGGGGGATCCCCTAGATGTTTGAGTTTTTGGAAAGTGGTCCATAATATCTATGTAGAAGGTAAAGGGAGCCACCTAGAGTTAACCTATAGGAATCTCTATGTATAAATGTATGTCTCACCTTCTGCTGCTTCCTGCAGCTTAGGTTGCAAACGGAGAGCTAAATGTTAAACCCATGAGTCTCTCCTGAGAGCACCTAAATAAGATTAAAACCTCCTTTAAATGTTTTTACAGTGCTACTGAAGGGTTAAGATTGTTACTGGATTTTATCTTAGAGAGCATTGGGGAAAAAAACACTGGTACTAAAGTCTCCCTCCTTCCAGCTGAGGATTCTGACTGCTATAGTATATAATTAGGCTTTTTCCAGTAACTCTCTCTCTGGACACATAATTCCTGCCTCTTAACAGTAGTTTCCTTGTAAGCTGTTCTTATTTTCTGCTAGTTTGTAATTGATGGGCTGCAAGCTGGGCTTTTCTGTAATTTTTACAAACTAGGTGGGGAGAGGCAGGCTTGGTAGTACTGGTGTGTTTAGCTGTGAGGCCAGGAAGCAGTGCTGGTGACCCAGTGAACAGCATGGCACCCAGGGTCCTGGCTCAGGGCATGGCACCCAGGGTCCTGGCACAGGGCATGGCACCCAGGGTCCTGGCACAGTGTGTTTGAGCATCGCTTTCCCTGTTTTGCCATAGGTTAAATCTCAGAGTTCCTAGTCATTACAGGATCATACTTCACAGAAGTGAGGTATTAAACACCAGGCAAATTATATGATAGGTTACTCTGTCCTCCTTGCCCTTACCTTCAGCTTCACCTAAATTACACAGCCTTACCCTCTGATTTAAACCTGTCTAAGCCCAGGTGGAGTTGCTGTTCTGTCCCAGAGGTGGCAGCAGTCTGGAGCAAGTGAAGTGATTTCCCCACATGCAAGAAGTCAAGCCCTTTGGGATTTTAGATGGAGAGCATTTTGGATATGTAATAGCTCATTACTTCATGAAGTTACTTAATGTTTAGAGTTGAGATTTTGCAATATCACAATTAATGTAAGTGGTTCGCTGCACTTGGTGCTGGTGTTCATGCAGCGGCCCAGAGCAGTGCTATTGCCACAACAAGCAGAGTAGAACAATGAGCAAAGAGGAGCAAGCAGTGCTTGGATTTGACTTGTGTTCTGGTTTTGCTCCATCTGGGTGCTTGCCACAACACAGAGCTGACCAAATATTTGCAGAGTTCAGATCCCCTGCCCTTCCCATCCTCACCCAGTTGGTGGTGAAAGTAGTTTAACCACAGGCGGGTACAGACAGTTCACCCTGGATGTTTGCAGCACTAGAACCAATGCAGCTGATGCCAGCTTGCATGTGAATTTTAGTTTATATGGCAGCTTTAGTTCTCTAATCCTTCATTTGTTGCACTGTGAGTTCTTTCACATTACTCTGTAGTGTATTTTAGAGACTCTCAGATTAACAATGGGTAGATCCACCCTTCTGCAGACACCTCCAAGGGAAGGGAAGAAATCTGCTGAGGTGTTACACATCTCTGCCAGGCAAAGCCTTTGCATGACTGAGACCTTCCCACCACGTGGGGCCAGAGCTTTTTAGGGAAGAAAACTGACTGCTTTTTAACACACTGTGAAGTTGTTGGAAGCAGTTCTTGGTGGCAAGAGCAAGCTGCCTGGAAGCCTCCTCATTGCTGGCCCAGTTTTGACTGCTCCTCTCTATCAACATCCCCTGGCACTACAGCTTTAATAAGACTAGTATTGTTTTAGCAGATGAACCCAGAGGGAGTTGTGGAACACTTGGCACAGAAAGCAGGACAGAGTCTGGAGCCTGACTGTTCTTTGGCTCTGACTTACCCTTTCAAACTCAAAATCCCACAGACTGTTCCTGTGGTGTTTCCAGTTTCCAAGAGCTATCAGCAGTGTCTGTGAGACAGGATGAATATTTGTCCTTCACAAGAAATCCTTAGACCAGCAAAGGAAATGGTCAAGTAGATTTGTCTTAGGTTGCCTTTGCTGTCTTAACCTGAATGGTCTGCTGTGTTTTAGAGAGCTGTGAAACTATTCTTTCAGTTTTCTTGTTTTGAGACTAGGAGGATTTTTGGGTCCTGGGCTGTACCAGAGGCTGGGCACAGCTCATGACATTGTGGCAGTTGGCCATAGCCATTCCCCAACCATGGCTGGGAACTCTGGCTTCAAATTGGAGGCAGCTTGTTTGACTAAGACAGATGGTATTACCTGGTCTGGAAATATGGTGATTAAGAAGCTGCTTCACATACAGCACAGCCTTGTACTTGGCAAAGGGAGTCTGGTGCTGGAAGGTTTAAGGTGACCAGCCCCTTCAATGTGTGCTACTTTGCAAGTCAGAGGTGGTACACTGGCTTCTAGAGCCAGCTAAGTTATGCCCAGTTCAAATTCTGCACTCCAGAATAGTAGAGAAAGAAGGATTTCAGTGCAGACAATGTTTTCAGTGCTCTCTTGTCTGACGTGTGTGTCTCCTGCTGCACCATGGAAATCTTTACCAGTTTGAGCTACAATGTTTTTGTTACAACTTGATTTTAACATGTGTGTTTAAATCAATTTCTAAATCTCTTAAGAGTACCAAACTTGGAATACAGGATAGTTCTGCTGATTCCAAGTGAAAGCATTCAAAATGGGTTATGAAGTGGATATTTATTCTGCCTAATCTGTCATTGTTTCCATGCTAACACTACCCTTGTTGTTACCATGAAATCAACTGTTATGGAAACAATACATTGTCCCTAAGGTAAATTTAGAAAAATGTTCACCCACTGGATAAATCCAGTTTCAGCAACATAGTGTTTAAAGCCTTATACCCTGTTCATAGAAAATCAGCAAGAGGTGCTCACCTGAAGCCATCCTCAGATTACCAGTTTCCCTGTGTTGTTCCTCAGGCCCTACATGTCCATTGGAACACTACGGGATCAAGTCATCTATCCAGACTCGGTGGAAGACATGCATGAGAAAGGCTACCAAGATCAAGATCTGGAGTCTATTCTGCATATGGTTCATCTGTACCACATAGTTCAAAGAGAAGGAGGTAAATGCATATTTTTGTTAAGAACTTGACAAAATCCATTCCTTGCATGTGTGTCTTAGCGTGACTGACCTTTACTAACTGAACTGGCTAAACTGGATTCAGACCTTTGTGGTTGTGGGAACTGCACAGACGCAGGGTTGTTGTTCCTGATGCTAACAGAGGGAGAAGAGCTGAGTGTTCCTCCCCTCCCCAATAAATCCATGCCCAGGCTGAAGATCCTCGCTGTCTTGTGATGGCCAGTCTTTTCCTGGTATTGTGGGGTCACTTACCTTCCTTGATTTTCATAAAAACTGCCTTAAAGCATTGTAATGTCACTGACTACATCAACTTGAAAGCATGTGAATGAGAGAGTCAGGTCTGCTTTCACCTCCCTAGTTTTTGGGATCAGCAGAACTATGTGCCTTGAAAAGGGGTGTCTGAGACCACCCCACCTGAGTGAGCAAGTTAAAAATAACCAAGCAACACTGGCTGGCAGTAGAATGTTGCCATCTACTGCTTGCTGTTTGAGTTGCCATGTGTTCTCAGTGTTGTTTGTTCTCAGAGTTGGGGACAGTGTGTATAGATGTACTGGCACTATAAACATCAAGATGCTTAAGGCTTCTTTTGTGTCTAAGGAACTGGAGCAATTCATGGCTTTTTTTCCCCAAGCACAGCAATAACTTCTATCCTTTTGTTCCTATCAGACTAAAGATTAATCTTTAATTTCAATTTCCTCCCCATCATTATGCTTTTAAAGCAGACATAAGACAAAGTTGGTAACATTTAGAGAGAAGAAAAAGGATCTTCAGACCCTTTTAAGGGGGTGTGCTGAATGTACCCTTCCTTTGTCTGCCAGCTGTCAGTGCTGGTTTTGTTCAGGTCCTTTGCCTTGTGTGTTCTTGGTGAGTCTCAGGATCATTCTGACAACACAGAGTAGTGCTTCAGCCACTGGGAATCCCAAGACAATGTCTAAATTCCCATTCCTGGATGGCAGCCTGTTCTGTAAAGAGGCAGAAGCTGTCTTTTTTTTTCTAAAGTATGTGTGTAGATACTTCAGAGTCTTCTCTGCACATTTTAGAGTGGGAAGCAGTAATCATTTACAACAGCAATTGTATACCTAAAGATACTTCTCCATCATGGGTTAGTGCTTCTTTGTTAAGAATGTAATAATGACTGTTGCAACGGAAAATAAGAATCTGACATTATTCTGATTCATGTTATTATTCAAATCTGATCCTCTAACACAAGAAAAAGTAGGCAGAGCTAAGCTCAGTGACCAGAACAATTGCAGAGAAGGCCTCTTCTTCCTACACTGACACTGTTATAACTATTCCTGTTAGTATACCTGAGTCACTTACTTCACTAAGTGAGGTGCACAGATTGCAGAAGAACAAGGAGGAATGTTGGAATGGGCTGCTGGAAAAGGAGGAGCAGTTAAATTGTCGGTGGTAAGAAGTTGCTGTGGAGTGTGTGCATTCACTGTGTGCTGGTACTTGTGGTTGGACTGCACAACACGTGACCCTTGGCAGCCAAAGCCACCGCCCAGCAGTCTGTGAGTGCACATGGCTGTGGTTTCTGGACTGTGTAACTGCTGGAGTGTGTACCTGCTGATGGGGCAGTCACTGTGCCCCATGTCCAAGATGGCTACAGTCACTGAAAGCCCAGGTTTGGATCAGCCTCATGCTGCTTTCCATGCCAGTGAAAGTATTTATTGCTGACCCTGTTCTTGCTCTTCTGCCCGTCTGACTGCACATGCACAACACACACAATCTATTAACAAGGGCTAGAGGACACTGTTAATGTTCACTGGTGCTGTACTGAAGCTCAGGATAAGGGCACACTGTGCAGAAGTTTGCCCAAACAAATGCTGGGGAAAAATGTGTCTTAGTGCTTTGTGATCTAAAGTGACAGAAGTGGGCAAAGCTGGGAAACAGGGAGAGAGATTAGCACATACCAGGAAGTTTTTAGGACCATAATATACTTACTTGTTCCCTTTTCTTCTTGGGCATTTACAGGAGACAAGTGCCAAGGTAGGAGCAGAGAGGAAATCTGTGACATATGATTTGACACATTACATGGATTTCATATACTTAGTTATTTTTAAAAGCTGCCCTGGTCTGGGATAAAGACTTGTGTTCTGGGGTTTCTTGAACCAGCAAGACAGAAATACTCTCTGAAAGTGAGCAGTCAAAAGTTTTTGTTTATACGTAGACTAACATGTTTTAACTCCAATTTTTATTTTATTCTTTTGCTTAAAATCATATTTTTAAACTAAAAATATTTTTCTTAAAAATGGAACATTTTTCTTTCTGAAATAATGAAAAATCTCATATAAACCTCTGGTGCTTTCACTGATCACAAATGTTGTGTGTGTGTATAATCTGACACTTTTCAGTTTTTTGTTCTGCTCCTCATGGGCAGTTATGAAAAAGCCAGATGAAGCCAGAGGTGCAAAACTTTGACTCAAATTATTTGTTCAGGCATGACTTTATTGTTTTTAACTGAATTACTTCCACATTGCAACAGTACAAGGATCACTGCATTCCAAGTATTGTGTCTGATGTTGTTTCTGTTGCTGCCAATGACAGAAATTCCTCTCTTTTTCTAGCATTAAGGTTTGATCCAGTGTCTTGGTTTGGAAAGACAGGAGTCTGCTAAGGAAGACAGGAGCCTTCCCTGAAATGGAAACTGTAAACCCCCTCCCTCCAAATTGCTATAAATTTTAAATTAAGGGGCTCTCAGGCAAAAAATACGGGAGCAGGAATAACAGTTCTTTATTAGGGAAGAAAATAAAAAGATAAAATAATCCATGCAGCAAACCAAAACAACACTGACAGAGTCAGAATAAAACCTGACACCCTGTTGGTCAGGTTGTTGGTAGCAGTCCAATTGGAAATGTGGCTGCAGTCCTCCTGGAGTGTCAGGTGTGGTTCTGTTGGAGCAGGGATCCTGTAGAAAGGGTGGAGTCTTACTCTTGAAGATCCAGTTGAAGAGGCAGCTGCTGTTCCTCTGGGAAATCCAGTGGAGAAGCTGTGCTGGCTTTCCAGAACCTCAAGATTATATCCAGGTAGGAATGCTTGGCTCCTCCCTCTGGGTGGAGCATCTCACAATGGGATGCTATAGTTCTTATCAGTCATGCAGTGACATTGAATAGCCTGTTATCAGCAGATGTCTCCCTGGAGGGAGGATTGGTTGTGACAGAGATAAGGAAAACTGCCATACAAATAGAATACATCTTGCCTTGCAATCTGGGACACTCAGTTAGAGGGAAGTAAAATAAATAGCCCAATTTGACATTTAGCTTCTGTCTTACCCTCATGAAACATTTTTCAGTTGGCATCAACAGAATACATCAAATCCACCAGAACAACAATTCCCCTCCCCAACACCGCTGTTCTGGATGCTCCTGAGCCCAAGCCCTCGATGAACCCAGTGTAGTGGCTGTTGGCAGTAGCCCCCTTGCTGCTGGAGGCAGAGGTTCCTTTCCACACTAATGTTTTTCTCAATACCTGGACATTAGACAAATGCTGTTTTATTACTTAGCTTTTTATTATCTGTAAGGTGCCCCCATCAACACCTGTAAAGTTGTTGGCTCTACCAGTGCCATAATTTCATACAAATGAAAGTTGTATTCAGTGTGTGTGGTGAGAAAGCATGTCCAGAAATAGGGGCTAAAAGCATACAGATATGCAGTACATACACATAAAGTAGTTCCTTGTGACTTGCTTTGAAAATCTGTGAATATTTACCAAGTGTCAGAGGAGAGGCAGCCCTGGGCTGCTGACTGCCTGTCACACAGAGGAGCCGTGAGGCCGCGAGCTGCGCCGTGCACGCGTGACTGGGCCTGTCCGGTTGGGGCTGATGACATTACTGAGCAAGTTCAACCTGTTTATGGTTTCTCAGCACCCCAGATTATAACTATTCCTCATTATTTTGCACATTTGTCATATCTTTGGGTGTTGTCCAGGGAGCTTTTGTGCTAGGCCGTGTATAAACAGACGGACAAGCCCATTTCCTCTCTCTGAGATTATTTCACCTGATCTCTTTAGCCCTGGATTTGCTTTTGTTACTGGTACCAGCAGGAACTCTGGAGAGCTCTGCCAGCTTTTCCAGTGGCTCTGGAAATCCAGAGACAAAAATCCCTGCAGTGTCCTACTGAGCTGGGGCTCATGGAATCCATGGTCTCTTTGTTCCTTGCTCAGCTCTGGGTTGTCCTTGCATATTCATCCTGCACAGCACTGGGCTCTCTTTACAAACACAGTGAAAAAGGCTTCCAGCCCAAAAGCTCAGCAGGGGTGGACTCTCTGGCTGTGATTTGCTGTGTTAGCCTTTCTTCTGTCCTTCAGTCCATGTCTGATAAGGTGCTTTGGAATGTAGATCTGAAAAAGGAACTTTTAAGCTTATCTTTTCATGGCAGCTGAATGCTCATTCCTGCATGAAAATGCAAGGATTCACAAGGATGAAGGATGCAGAGAACTGTGGATCCCAGAAGTAACCTGTTTGGGTTTTGCCAAATAAAGCTTGCATTTTCCTTCAGAAAATTGAGATAAAGGAATTATAAAAGAAGCCATGCCAGAAAATAAAATGCTGCTATCCTGAGGCTATCACCAGTTTTTGCAGGCAGCTGTATGTATTTCTGCTGCTGTTACTGTGCCCCAGCACATTAAACGTGTTCTTTGTCTTACTGGCTGCAAAAGCCATAACCAGAAGGTGGGCTAGGAATTTGGACTCTGAAAGCCAGGATTGTGCTTGCACTTGTGAGAGATTTGTGTTGCATTCATGGGCAAGCCATTTCATTTCTTCATTTCTGAAGTGGATGTAGTTATGGGTGACCTAAGCCACTGACTTGGCTGTTATTTCCAGAATACTTCAGTACCTTCACTGACCTGTGCCATGTCAGCAGGAAGAAACAGGAGACAAGTAGGCGCACTGTTGTTCACAGACAGAGGGGAGCCAGTTTAGCGTGAGTTACAATGCCTAAGTGTTCAGATGAAATTATTTAGACATTAGAAAAGAGTTTTTTAAAGGGATAATATAAAATTGCACACTTCCTTATCTGTTGTTTGAGGCATTCCATGTGGAAAATAGGAGAGTTCAGGGAGGGTGCCAGGCAGGAAGAGACAAGATGTGCATGTCGTACTCAGTTAGAATGTAAGTTGAAGTAACCACAGAGATGACCATTGTATCCTGGTAAATTAAAAGGTTAAATCTTACACCTTTAGAGTAAATAATAGAATTCTTTTGCTGACAAGAGGATGGTTCTTTCTGAACTTCATTCCCTTTTTTGTCTTTTAATAAGCCTTTATAAACCAGCTGATCAGGAAGAAACTGTATGAACAGAGGCACTGCTCCCCCAGGCACATGTGCACCCCCACCCCAGCTCAGATCCAGGTCCTGAAGCTCATCTGTATTCTCAGCTTTAAAATAACAGAACATAAGCAGCACCTTGAGTGTTGTCTTTAGAAGCATAGTTGTTTCTATGGCTTTTGTGAAGAACCATTCCCATCCCTTGCCAGAGCCCTTTGCCAAAAGGGAGTGCTCCAGGTGTTTTACAGTGCTTTTTGGAAGCTCAGGTGTTGGTGGAAGAGCACTCCAGCTCTCTGTGAGGTCCCAGCACTGGGACTGCTCAGCAATAGCAGCCTGTGTGTATCTGTTCCCTTTACCAGAGGTGATTCCCTTTACCAAATGGTGATTCAGTTAATCACTACACAGCTCCATCTTTATTGGAGCCAGCTGATAGAAAGCACTTTATGTGCTCCTGGGAGGCTACCACTGGCATCCTTTAACAAGAATGGAAGGAAAACAGGGGAAAACTATAGGATCACTAAAGGTGATGTCTTTCTTGCATATGCCTGTTTTTTTAATCTAACTTTATAAATATTTCTTTAAAAATAATTACTTTAGATTTTCTAATTTTATGTAGAGCAATGAAATTTAGTCTCTGTCATTATCAATTACTGGTTTTGATCACACAGCTCCCCATCAGATGTTTCACTGATGTTTTGTTCAGTCCTGCCAAGCCGTGGTATAGCACCAAGCACAGGCAGAGCAGTGCCAAGCCTCCTGCACCTTCACAAGCCCCATTGTCTCATAATTGTTCAGGTATCAGAAATAACACAGCCCACCCTCCTTGCTTTATCCTATTTATAGTCTTTTCTGGCAAATATTTTTTTTTTAAGTTTGGCAGTGGCAGAAAAGGGATTTTGACTGTGTTATTAACTTTTTAGTTACAGTATTTCTGGAGCTGATCTGAGAAAATGTTCTCTTCCTCTCAGCCCTGCTTCAGCTGCTTGCCTCATGAATAGATGATCTGTTGAGAAAAATGTCTTATCAGATTTTTTTGCTACATCCACACTGTTCTTTTTGGAAACTCATCTATTTTGCTACTCTATCCATCTGGATTGTTTGACTGAAAACTTACTTTCAGTAAGGAAATTTGTTACTTTATTTTTTTCTATAGGAGGAATTAATCATGCCCAAGTACTCACAGAACACCGGTCTGCTGTAAGATTACAGATAAAATACTTCATGCTTGTGGCATGTACCTGAAAGTGATAAAGAAATAAATCATTTAGAGACCATGCAGAATATTAAATAAGGATACCTCATGTTATAGCAGTTGTGGGTTATTTTTAAATACAAGGTACTAGAAAATTTTTGTAGAAGATTCTCCTGCCTGATTGCAGTTTTGCTGCCTGTCTGTGCTCATGGATACATCCCTTTGTCTGCAGTTGTGTTTCTGTTGGGTTTGCTCACAGTTTTCTTTGCCTGCAGTAGTGAGTGCAGTCTGACACTGCTCTTTATTTTTTACACTCTATTTCTTTTACTTTGCTTTTAAATTTCCACTCATACCTTTCAAGAAAAAACAGAGAATTGGTCCATGAAACAAGTATGAATTGTTCCATGAAACAAGTATGACAGAATAAAATTACTAGTTATATACAAGTCAAAGAGTTTTTTTCAAAGAAGTGGTAAATAAAGTTTTTTGAAAATATCTATATGACCAAAAATTCTAAATTCCACTTTCAAATTTGTCATGATATAAGGGACATTTTTCCAGTTGATTGCCAGTGGATAGGCATTGAGATATTTCAGAAGATGTGATTCAGTAGCCTGAGCTGTCTCTTCTGCAGTTGAAATTCTCTTTATGATTCAGGTTAGAGATTGCTGAAGTGCTGCAAGTGAAGTTGCATTTCTTACATTAACTTATATTGTCCTGACTCATTTTTTTTTGCATTTTTTTAAAAAGGCTGGGATGCTATCATGGATTGGAAAGATGTCTTATCAGGAGGAGAAAAACAAAGGATGGGCATGGCCCGGATGTTTTACCACAAGTAAGTGTTATGGTTCATTCCTTAAGAAGCATTTGAAAATGAGAAGGAGCTTTGCAGATCCTGTTACAGTTTGAGCAGTGGTAGACTATAATCTGCATGCAATATGCAGCACTGTCTAGCATAGGACCTGCATAAATCTTGTTTATTCATTCAAGCTCTGTCTTTGGTTTTGGTCTTCTTAAGCTTTGCTTTTGGCAACATAGCATTACCTTTTTCAGATATTTTGTTCTGTAAGATCTCAGGCACAAGCATCATCCCTCCTACAAATGTTCCCAAAGTGTGATGGACTGTTGCAAGAAGCTCTTGGAGTTTGAAAGCCAAGCTCCTTAACCATTTTTGATTTTGGAGACTGCAAGCACATAAAGCCAGTCCTTACATAGCAGTGGATAGGAAGCTTCAAGTTGACTTTAGCTACTGCATGACTTGATGAGTACAAAATAATACTAGGTCAGACTAGGACATAGCAGGTAGATCACTGTGTACTCAAATGGGACAGGAAATAAACCCCATTTTTCCTGGAAGATGTCTTTTCACCTGAATAATGCATGGAAACTTCATGTTGTTTCCAGCCAGCTTCCAGCTGTAAATAAGGGACAGCTGTCTGGCAAAAATAGCTCACTGCTTCCTGTTGTTCTTTCAATTAAACCTTGTACATGGGAGTACTGTCCAAAACCTAGAAGAATAATGTTCTTTATCTACTTTTAAAAGGCCAAAATATGCATTGCTGGATGAATGTACGAGTGCTGTAAGCATTGATGTTGAAGGAAAGATATTCCAAGCTGCAAAAGCTGCTGGGATATCCCTGCTTTCCATAACACACAGACCTTCTCTTTGGTAAGTATATGCAGGGCTGTATCATGCTCCTTGCTTTTAGCTCTCTGACAAGCAGTGGATTGGTCTTTATTCTTTGTGCTGGGGCAGTTGTTTAGTCAATATCTACTGCAGTTTCTAAGATAAGTTGTCTACAACAGTAGTGATGTAAATTAATTTAACATGGATTTTTTTCATTCTTTGAAAGGTATTTTTTCATGCCTCCTCTTTTTCTAATGTGTTTCAGTAATTAAAATGCAAATGTCTAAGAGGTAATTAATTAGGCTATGCCACAGCCACAACAGGTATCACCAGATTATTCTGTAAAGGTGACTAGATACATGAGGTGTCCTGGGGGAGTTTACCAGTGCAGGGAGAAGATGGGAAACATTGCAAGTGGTTAAACTTCTTCATTCTTCCACAGGAATACTATGTTTATATTTTTAACAATTGTGTCCTCTATCTGCAGCATTTGGCTTCTTGATTTTTTGGGAGTTTGGTGGTGGAAAAATAGAAGGATGGGTTAAAAAGGACAATAGGCAAAAAGTGGTGGATATTAGTCTGGAGATGAGTCTCTTTTCAGTCCCTTGTCATAAGCCATTGAGTTTACTAAAGTTCTCACATTCCCTGGATGAGATTTACAGTCAGTGTTTTATGATGCGTTTTACCTCCTATAATTTATAGTTATAAATTACGCAGTCATACCAGCAGCTCTGAGGGAACTCTTTGCCCTTCCTCTGGCACCTCCTGAAAAATGTTTTGTCAGGTCCTGACAAACTCCACATGTACACCTTTGAATATTTTCAATGCACACACCCTGATACTCACTGAAAGATCTGTTACTCCTGTACAGACTTTTTTATTTTGACCCCTTTCAAATTGAACCATGTTTGAGGAATAAAGTTACCTTTAGCCAACCTTTTAAGACACAGGGGAACAAACTGAGGTGCAATTTGAACAAATTTTGAGTTTTATCAGTTGGATCAGGTGCATCATGCCTGCTTCACTATATTTGCTGTTAAGGAGATAAGACATCTATCAGAAAGGGAGGTAAATAAAAAAAACTGGGACTAGAATTCCTGAGGGAGAAATTAACCTTGTCTGATGCTGCTGTTCTAGCTCCTGGGCAAAAAGGCATCTGATGAAGTTGTAGTGAAGGCAGCTGAAGCTGCCAACAATGTTTCTGAGAAGGAGGCAGTAAGAGGGACAGCGGGTGACGAGTGGACCTTCCATGGCCCTGCTGCCCACTCCTGCCAGCATCCCTGCAGGAAAGGGGCTCAGAGCCTGGGCTGCAGAGGCAATGATTGCCCCTGCTGGGAGCTCACACCAGTGTTGCTGCTTCCAGCTGGCACCCGCTGAATTTCACTATTGGCCTGGGGCAGTCCTGGTGACAGGCTTTGAAATACCCAAATCCCTTATGAAAGAGTGTCCTGGGATCACAAGTCGTTGAATAAAAAAGTCTTACCCAGTGATCCAGAGCTGGACAGCTCAAATTCCTTAGAGGCACCTTTGAAAAGAGACACATACATCCAAATTTGCATGCAAGAAGGAAGCATCTGTTCCCTGAGCCATTACTGATGTTTCAATTTCTGCTGCAGGAAGTACCACACTCACTTGCTGCAGTTTGATGGACAAGGGGGCTGGCGTTTTGAGCAGCTGGACACCGCCATCCGTTTGTCACTGAGTGAGGAAAAACAGAGACTGGAATCCCAGCTTGCAGGAATTCCTAAAATGCAGCAGAGACTCAATGAACTGTGTAAAATCCTAGGAGAAGATTCAGTGCTTAAAACAATGGACAAAGAAGAATAAATAATTTATGGTTTATGTTTTTAAAAATATTTTTTTAGTTAAAAGCATTACAAATTCAGCCATTATCCTTTGCATGCATTGTGACAGAGGCTTAGAGCATAGCAAAACACAGCCAGCAGAAAATAATGCTCTGAATGCTATGTAAGACTTCAGTGTTTTAGTATTAGGGAGGAAAGTGGTTGAACTGTGAAAAGAAAATAAGCAAGTGCGCAGAGTATAAGATTAGTCATTAAAGCTTATGTTAATTCCTAGTGAAAGCCCAATTCACTGCAAGAAACAACCAACACTCTTAGGGTTTATAGGTGAATTTTTGCCTGGGACTTGGCCTGCAGAATGTGCTCTTGTACCGGTCACTGTGTGCGAATGACGTGCCTGCTACGCAGAGCAGCCGGGCATGACACTCAGGCATGGAGCACAGCAGGGGCACTCTCTGGGTGAGTATGCAGATGCATGCAAAAATCTCATTTGGGTACAAGGAACATTCTCTCAGCCCATGTAAAACAAGATTTCTGTTCTACTACTGAATAGTATCCATGCCTTTACCTGCATTTCCATAGGAAATAATGTAATAGGCTGACCAGAGACAACTGTCTGAGCAAGCCACTGCCCTCATGACAGAGAAGCAGGGACAGAGCTAAACATGTAATGTACTTGTGCTTTATGCCATTACACATAGCTTCAGAGGCTCTTTGCCCTTCATGATACATCAATTCCTTCAGGGGATTATTTATGTCCCTTACTCAGTAACCTCTGGTGGTGTGGATGGAGCACTGGGCCTGGCAACAAGTGACTTAGTTTTGGCTTGACTAAATCATTCATCTTCTCTATGGGTCCAATCCAGCTGGCACCCATGTCTGACCCAGTTCCTCCTTTGGCATAATCACAGTATAGACACTTGTTTGTTCCACGAGACACTTTATGGTGGGAAGGACTGTAGGAGAAGCAAATGGCAGTTTCTAACAATATGCTGAATTCTCAGGCATGGCTATCCTGCCAAATGAAATGCACTTATAAAGGTCTGTGAAAAGTTAGAGCATTTGGTAACCACTAATGAATATACCTTCCATATTTTGGTGGAGTGACTGAATATTGCCCTCCCTGTGAGCAAATGCACTGGGTAACAGCCTTGCTTTCAGATGCACTCACTGCTTGTCCCATCAGCTTTTCAGTTCAGGTCCCCATTCAGTCAGAAGGTGCTTTAACAAAATACCCCGAGACCCTGAGACAGTGCTGGCCTGAGTGCCTTGCTGAATGCAAAAGCTGGAGAATTAGAAATGAGGATGTGAATGTATTTAGGAGGTCCTGTTCTCTCTGAGTGCACAGCAAAGGGGCAGCTCAGGAGTGAAGATCAGGAGGGGAAAGAACCTTTGCAGATGGGCAAATGAGCCTTAGCCAAGATGTAGCAATCCTGAAGTTTGTTGGTGTTTTTTTTTCCCTAGAAATGTGTGATTCCTTAGAAGATTTCTGTCTGTTGTTCTTAGTCTGAGAGGCAGTGCATAAACTGCTAAGAGCTGCTTGGAGAGGAGAAATATTTCAGGGGCATTTGTTGAGCTGGAAATGTTTGAGCACCCTAATGTTAATATAACCTGCTTCTTTTTTTCTGATTGCATCAGGAAAAAGAGGAAGATGAATTACCTCCATCTGCCAAATCCCAGTCCAGTGCACTAACCATTAGCCCATATTCCTTCTCAGTGTGCTCAGCTCACTGCTTGGTATGGCATTTGCACCAGAAAATGGAGCAAGTCTGCTCCCTCCAGTGTCTGTAGCTTGAATGTAACTCTGTCATTTACCCTGGTGACAACAATTGGTTCCTTTCATTAGTTTTTTTCCTGTAGAGCCCCCTGAGACATCTCACTGATACAGAAAGGAATGCTCCTAGGAACCTTTGAAAAGGCTGAAAAATGAAGGTTCAAGATAATAAGATGTTGTGTCGTAAAGCACAGATGGAGGTCACTGCTGGGGTGCCTGACAAGTGTGTGCATTTCAATTTGCAAATGTCTGTGCTTGTCCCTCTCCCTCGAGGTGAGCTTTCCCCTTTCTCATCTTCAAAGCAAAATTCATAACTGCTAAGGAAAAAAGAAGTCAGCCAAGAATCTGTTCTCAGTGAGCATAACTGAGATGACTGATGAGTGTAAAAGCTTGCAGGTTTCTGATTGATGTTTCTCTAAGATGAGATGAATCAGGGCACACCATGCACATCCCCTTGTCCCAGCTGCAGAGCATCCTGCTAGCACAAGGCAGCCCCAAAGCCACTTTTCCACAAGCCTTTCCAAGCCAGGACCTGAGGTGGAGCAAGGGCATTGCTGTTCCCCACCTCTCCATTGAGCACTTTAACATGTGGCTGGGAACTAAACCAGGGTTATCCACTCCCTGAATGAGTGGGATACTGAAAGGTGCTGAAGAATTGGCCCAGTTTGGCACAGCTCCAGATATCCCACCAAAGCTCTGCCCCTGTGTTTGACTTGCTGGCAGCCACTAAAGGCAGCACCTGAAATCTGCTGGATGCCTTACAGAGATCAAAGCTGGATATCCCTCATGGCACAAAACAAATCTCTTCTGAGGAAAACATGCTTAGTAGAAGAAATTTTGTTTGCTGCTGGTTTTTTTTTAATGAGATTATACATAAAACATATGAAATTTATATATGTTACTGAAATTTTGATGTTATGAATTTTAATGTTACGAAATTTTGATGAAAACTGAAATCAGACCTGGATCAATCTCATAGTATTTTCTTTGAAGTTCAACATTTATTTCTTGGATCCAGTAATAGACAACCATTCCCATTCAGCTGTGTGGTGTAAAATACTCCAGCACCTCACTCAGCTGTTTGTGTTCCTGTAGGCATGGCCAGAACATTAGAGGCCACTCTGAGAAAAAACACTTCTCTAAACAGGAACTTCCTGAGTGATACCTGGCTGGTTTTAGAAGGAATTTCTCTACTAGGGCCTCGTTATATTTCAAGTTAGTTTTGTGGCAGGAAGAGGAGCTGCCCTGGAGGTATTTTCTGCAAACTTTCTGTGCTGTTCCAAGGGCCAGTTGAGACTGGAGTCTCCGTTTCTGTCTCTGGAGAGTTTTACAGGGCATAGTCCAGCTCATTTGGTGCTGCTTTGGGCCCAGCCTAGCAGAGGTGCATGCTCGCTGCTCAGGAATGGCTCCTGGAGAACTGTTCTGGAGCCAGGGCATGGGCACCACATGGCCCTGGCCGTGCACGGGGGTCAGAGTGGGACAGGATACCTTGGTGGAAGCTTTCTTGTGCAATGAGAGCTGCTTATGAATGTCCATTCTCTTTTTGGTGTTGAGGAGCTGCGGCTCCCCAGGAGGCTGAGGAAGTGAGTTTTGGCCTCCTTTCTGCCTGTCATACCTGTCTGGAGCTGGCCAGACCCTGTCATGGTGTCTGTGCATTCTGGGCTGGGTTCTGCCCAGTGCTGAGCACACCCTCTCACTCCCCGGGGCTCAGGGCACACTGGATTGCCTGGGGCTGTTTGCACCTACAAGTCTGTTTGCACAGGTGATGGGCAACATTCATACCTGCTTCAGGCAGGTGGGATCTGTACAACAAAAATACGAGTTCTTCACTTCAGCGTGTTCAGATAATGCAGAGTGTTTTTGCAAGAATGTTCAGAATGAAAGGACACAATTTTTGTGCGAGGGATTTCACTATTTTAACCTGGGAGGACTTTATTTTTTACTTAGTTTTGGGGTCAGACTCATTCCTGGTTTGGACTTGGAAGTCCTCCTTCTGCAGGGACAGAAAACCTCACATATGTTTAAAGGAATTTTTCAAAAGCAGTGGCATTTGTATTTGAGTAGGGAATGAAGGACTGGGTATTGAATGGGATATTTTAGAGAAAGTTATATCTTAAAGCAAATGAACACATCTACAGTCCACTCAAACTTATGAATGGTGATAATGCATGTCAAAGTCAAATTTCTGAGCCAATCATATAAAGAAATCCCCCTACTGAGCTGTTCTTGAAGCTTAGGAGAACTGAACTGTTAATCAAATGTGTCTTTGTTTTGTTTATGTTTGATATTAATGCCTTTTAAGAGCAGACAATTTATAAAGCAATAAAATATGCTTTACAGTTGTAATTTATTCCAATCTGAAATAAAACATGTTGCATTTACTTTCAGTTTACAGTGTTCCGTATGAGTCATTCACAAAGCAGTCAGGACCTGCCTGCGTGTGCTCTGGGAGTCCTTTCCCAACCCTTGTTTCTGTGATGGAGCAGGAAAGCTGGGGTGGATGCTGTGCATTTTCAAGTTAAAACAAGTATTTTATTCCTAGGTCAGGCTGGCATCAAAGGCTGCTGTGGGGTTTCTCATTTTTCACGCCATCCACTTCGGTGTGTACCTGACAGGAAGGTGACAAGAGCTGCCACCCCTTGCTGGGGCTTTTACACCAAGCAGTGAGCCAGAGGACCCTGTCAGCAGTGCAGCAGCAGCAGCAGCAGCATCACTCCCAAAGGTTGTTGTTAGGGTTTTTGTAAGACACAGTTATGCACAGAGCATCAGTGCCATCAACAAGCAAGAGCTCACACTGGCCTAGCAGAGGAGTGTTTTTCCTTAGGGAGTGTGAGGGCACTGGTTGGCTCCTTAGCAGCCTTGACCCAGAGCTGGCTTGTGTCCAGCCCCTTTCCAGCTGTGAGGTACTGTGTGGTGCAGGACCTGGATTGTGCAGTGGGAGAGCCAGTGGAGGTGGTGGTCACTTGAGAATTAGATTCTTATGGATGACTGAAGTCCAGTCCCCTGTGCCTCCCTTGCAGCCACTGCAGCCACTCAGAGGGACAGCACTGGCAGAGAGTGAAGTCCAGGACATGAGCAATGAGAAATTCATTTCTGGGGGTCTCTGAGCAGGCTGTAGGACCAGGCTGGGGCTGATGCATCAAACTGTGGTAGTGGAGAAGTTGAGCTGAAAGCGGAGGCTGCCCTTCAGTTTCACCTTTTTTTGTCAAGAAATGCTTTGGTGTCCACTCCTTGGAGAGCATTCCTGCTTTCTGATCAGGAGCACTGGTGTCATGGGTTTGATGTGAAGTGTCAAAGCCCTGAGCCTCTGCCCAAGGGTTAGGTATCCCCAGAAGAGAGGGAACAGCAAGGATTGCATCATGGGAGATAAAAGGACTCAGGAAATATTCAGAGCAAAGGTGTTCAAAGACTTCCCACAGGTGAAATCTTCTATTAGGGGGGGAATATCTGGAAGAACTTCTTAACGCTGTCTCTGTATTATTTCTGATTATAGCTCATTCTGCTGCACCTGCTTTGTATTTTTTAAATTAGTGTCTTTAACCTAATGTGATACCATCTCTGAGAGCATAACAGTGACTTTTAAAAAATACTGCACTGACTCAGTGCAAGTCTGATGTGTCTGAACAATCGGGTTTTAACCAGGTAATTAAAAAAGGGAGAAAGAGATTGTGATGGTGGCTGATGCAGGGCTGAGGAGCCAGCTGGGTCCTGGGGCTGGGCTCCCAGTAAACACCAGGCTGGCATGAGCTCTGGGAAAAGAACAGTCCAGAGGAGTCTGGACTGGGAGGAGCCCGATGTTAGAAAAAGAGAATAATGAAACCTGTCTTGGAAATAAAGTAATTGTGCAACAGTACATTAGTTTTCTTTTGTTGTCATCAAATATACAAAGACGTCTTTGACAAAGCATTTCTAGGATAACACAAACAAAAATCCAGACCCACTCATTTATTGATCAACTCTAGCATGAAAAAAAATTGTTATAAAAATCATTTAGATTGAAATGTCTTTAAAAGAGAGTTTATATTTGTTGGATTTTAGAGTTTCATTTCAAATAGATTCATAATGCTTTTTATAAAGACTTGAGTCATTGGGAATTAGAATTTATTCTTACCTAAATAATATGATATTGAAGCAAACCCAATCTATTTAATTTTTAAAGCAACCAAAAAAAATGCATTCAGTAATTCCAATATTCTTGTTCTTGGTTAAAATGTTCTCTGCAATTCTAGCCACAGTGGGCTATAAATACATCAAGTTTATGAGATACTTCTTTATCAGTTGGTGTTTGCTGTGCTGGTGTGTTTGGAGATCTCTGTCTTTATTATATGGGTTGCCCTGAGTCTTCCTTCCCACCCTTTAGTCCCATTTTCTGTCCCTGCTGGGATGGATGCAGTGCTGAGACATCCGGGGCAGTGCCTCTGATGGCGAGTGCTGGAGGAGAGGGAGTGAGGTGATGGGTTCTGTCTAATACATCTGCTTTTTTATAGATCCAAACACTTTGAGGAGAAGTCTCAAGGAGTAATGTCTGCACAACTAAAATGCAGCAGCTGGCAAGGTCCTAAAGCAAGGTGCTGAGGTGCAGCAGCTGGTAGTTGTAAAGCTGGGTTCTGCTGCATGCACACTCACAGGAACTGGACACTCCTGCACTGAGCAAACACTTCCCAGCATCACTTTGTACCTGCAAAGCCAGGCTGATGTAAAACTTACACAGCTCATACTTGTGAAAAATGAATAATACTCTTTTAATCCTAGCCCTCAGTTTTCATCAGAAACACACAATTGCCTTTTACAGTGTCCTTTGGAGTATTTCTAGGTAACCCATACATAAAATCTGTTCTTAAATAACAGCATGCCTTGTCTGAGCTCTGCTATTCAACCAAAATCCCTTTATAAGCAGTAGGAAATGGCAGCCATAGAAGCAAAATTCTGAAAATTGCCATATCCTTTCTAGTGCAAAGTGAGCCTACAAGGAGGTCCTGTTGCTGTCTCTTGCTGGCCTATTTTTGTCCTGTAATCATGTTACAGAGAATTCATCTCCTGTCTAATTGCCAATGTTCCCTTATGTATGTGCCATGTGGCTCATTGCTGAGCATCAGAGGATGAGGACTCTGTTTATTAGAGTCTGGCTTAAATTATTATGGGTGAAAAAGAGAGTGAACAATGTATTTCACACCAAGATGAAAGTGGAGGCAAGGTAAATCCGGCCTGGGAGGATGACTGCACTTCCCTTGTAAGGACTTCTTTCCAGGGACTTCTGAAGGGAGGTTCAATTCCTCTTTCAAGTCATGGGCTGAAAACTGCTTCTGTCTGGCAGAGGATTTAATTAGCAACCAGGAAAAAAAAAAAAACCAAACAAACAAAAAAACCAACCAGTGGCAACATCAGTTTTAAAGGTATTAAAAAGTATGTTTCTAAAAAATGAGCCTGATGTATGTTCCTGTAATTGATCTGATGTGGTACTGTCAATTTGCTGAGACCCTCTCCCCTGCTCTGACACTGGGCAAGGATGGAGCTGTTCTGGTGAGAGCTGGGACACCATCAAGGTGCTCCTCTGCCCCTCTGAGTGCCTCTGGGAAAACAGAGCTTAGTGCACTGGCATGGGCTCCAAACTTTCCAACACCTTCCCCTCCAAGAAAGGATTATTTCCTAAAAAATCTTCTCACTCTCTTGGCTTTCACTCCTGTTTTCCCTGTCCAAATTTCCAGGGGAGTTTGGAGTTCTCAAGGGCATCTTAGAGACAAACCAGATGGGCCCAAATCATGTTCTTACCTAGGACACAGCTTGAGGCTGTATCACTAAATGCCTGCCTAGTCTGCTGTGAGTGTAAGGCCATGTTCAAAGCGTTTTGGTTCAG